GGGGGTGTATATATGCCAGGATCTGGACAATAAAGGTGTATCTCATCTTTTCTTATCTTATCTTATCTTATCTTACCTTATCGTATCTTATCTTAACATTGCAATCCAATATCCTGTTCCAGTAATGACCAAAACTTGAGACTGAAGATGTTCTGAAATTATGTCAATTTTGTGGTAGCAGAACCCCCCGATCTCACGCTGGGGTCGGAAATACATCGTAGATAACTTGATGGTGTCGGGGGAAACGAATAGCTTCTCAGTACCTCAAAATACCCCAGGACATGAAAACAGGAGTTAAAACAGGACTCAGTAAGCTTAGCGCGTTGCGTGACGTAAATTAATGGCTCTGAACTAAGAATAGAATAACGTCACCTAGTTGGCTCACTAAAGGTTGGATACTCCGTGACAGTTGTTTAAAGAACACTCATACAGCTTCATTATTCCACAAAGACTAAACAAAAGAGACATTTCAGGAAAGCTATTTAAAGAGGAATGGGGGAAACGAGTAATGGAACTGTTTTGATGGAGGAAATAGAACGTTTCGGCTCCTACTGTGCCTAATTAAGTCATGCAACGTGCAATATACATTTGTAAGGTTTAGTGTGTGTTTTGAGGGTTTCAATTTTTATTTAATTTTTAATTTATTTTTTTTTTTGGGGGGGGGGCTGAATCAACTTTTAAAAGTTGATTTGGCTTTTACATTTTTATACGATTTGTACTTTATTTTGGCAGAGTTCATATAGCTTTCTTTTAACTTGTTCTCAAACTGGAATTGTAGGCATTATGGTGTACAGATTTACAAGAGGTTGAGGAGACGTTGAATAACATTACGGGTAAGATCATCATCATCATCATCATCAAGTGCCAGATGTGCAACAGGCATAGGCCATCATAGGTTCTCAATTCATTTATTTGATTGAATGCTTTTAAAATATGTTACAGCATCCTGCTCATTACCCGTCGTCCATCTGTTTTGGCTCTCCATGCAAATTTCTCTGTGTCTACCTCTGTTCTCAAATGCATTCAATTTTGCAATGAGAGCGAGATGTTCAAGGTCTTTGTGATCATTCACTTGCCCCAGAAACTGCATGTCTTTTCCGGTTTGTTTTTATTACCGAGCGGTCCATGTGGGGACAGATTTATTCGTTTTTATAAGAGAGAACAGGTGGAGGGGAGGACATACAATCATCCAATTTCGTCAGAAAGAGGAAAGATAAGGATGTGTGGAGAGTTGAGACGAATAAAAGCTGGTGTATCGTCTTTTCCCTCCGCGCGCCATTAGCAACTTATCTGTCCCGTCTCGGTTATACATATCTGTCGTTCCTCTTTCACTCAAAAATATGCCTTCACCATTGGCGTGCAATGTGCAAATAAACAGAGCATAATGCATTCGACTCATGTCTCAGAGCTTGTTGAAAGCATTGGAATCTGCCAAAGATTTTTGGATGGCTGCCGAGAAAAACATAGTAAACAACGCTGTTCACAGGTTTAAAGTAAAAGATTAATAAACACAAAGCGGTATTTTTTAGCATGCAACCTTGGCAAAACCAAGCTAAAAGGAAGAAAAGATCACCCGGCATTTTGTCACTTTTCAACACAGAAATAATACGAGTAATTTAGGTTCATGCCAACAGAATTTGTCAACCGTTTTGAGAGGAAGGCAATGTTTTACAGAAAAATATTTTACACAGATAACTCTTAAAAGAAAGACAACAGACAGGCAACAGCGTTATAGGATGGAAAGCGAACCCAATGTATGAGAGTACCAGCCATCCAATGACATGCTCTCCGCAACGCCTTATCCAAAGTAAAAGGTCAAAACCATACTTTTACGAAGCTCTGTCCAGCAAATCAAACCTTTCCCTCCCCCCCCCCCCAAATCCCTCCCATCCAGTTGGAATTTCCTAATGATGGAGGAGATCTCGCAAACTTCAGACAGTTTATCCATGTCAAGAAATCCTCTGGCTTTACAAAGCTCAATATGCAAGTCAAACGAGCAACCCTTTTTGTGCCGTGATATGTCAGCACACAGCCATGTGGTGAAAACAAAGGCAATGATACATCGTTGGGTGGCACTGGAAGAGTTGCGTCGAAATGGAGAAAGACAGGGGAAGGTAAGAAGGTAAATGAAGGCAGGATCGTAAGACACGCACCATAGAGGAAACGCACTCTTTTTGAATTTTGATATTTTAGAACAAGTCAGTTTTTAAAAAAGCAGATTTTGTCTATGAAGATATTAGGATAACAGGTTACCGGGCACGCGTATTCGGATGTTTCGAAACTCAGCTCGGCCCGATGTTGTATTCTTGAGAAATATATTTTACACGTATCTTCCCTATTGGCTTGGTCCAATCGGTAATTGACGTTAAATTCGAAGGTCCTGCCTCTAAAATTAATTTTAAAGCGTTGCAATTTCGCACATTTTTCGGATTAGGGAAGAAGCAGAGTAGAGAAAAGCAAGAGTGGGAACCTTTATTTAAATGTCCGATCTGTGAAGATATAAAAAGGAAAGACATGTACGAGCAAACGAATGCAGAAACGGACAGAAAGTTGAATACAAATGTTAAGCCAACTCACCTAATATCAACGTCATCACATCCGAGATAGCCAGACTGAAGAGATAATAGTTGGTTGCCGTGTGCAAAAATCTATTCCTGGCGATGACAACACATGTACACACGTTGCCAAGGACGCCACTGAGAAAGATGAGAGTGTAGAGAATACTCAGGACCACCACAGCCGCTGTGCTGATGTAACGGTCTCCAAGAAACCAGCCCAAATACTCCACTTCTGACACGATCGAGAAGTTGACGTCACTCAGGTTGTGCGCCTGGGGCGTGTTGTTGACATCACAGTACACAGTGACGTCATCGGTGAAGTTGGCGGTGATCTGACGCACATCCGCCCAGGTGACGTTGGCGCCCATGTAGTAGACGTCATCCTGGTAGATGTGGTGGTAGTAGTAATTGTTGTCGTGGAGGTACAGGGCGTCGGCACCCCCGTAACCATAGTAACCACCACCGACGCCATTGCCGCTGCTGCTGCCGACACTGACAGCTGGATTGGTAGCGTACTTGCTCGTTCCACCACTACTATCAGCAGCGCTGTTGCTGCTGTCGCTGTTGCTGTTGACGACACCGTGACCATCCAACGATAGTCCAAGAGCCGACTGAGGCGTACTCCGGACGCTGAGGTTGAACCTGCAGCAAATGCTGTCGTTGATTTGTAGGTAATTCTTGTTCGACGGCATACTGGAAGAAGTTATAGATCTTCGGGGGTGTTAAAGAATTATTATCCCGAATGAATTACAGCAACACAATTCACTGCCTTTGCAGCGCCGAAGTACTTTCCGGTGACTCACATAAGTAGGGACAAAATGTTGTTTGCATTGTTTAGAGAGACAACTCCTATCAGGAATATTAGATAAATTCCAAGTTTTGAAAATCGCACACACAGTAAGTGTTGATGGTAGTTCCTGATGTAATATCTACAGTTGAAAATCTCGATTTGATTAGTGTTGGCACATTCAAGAAATTATGACATACTTTCCCCTTGACTCACAAAATCATTCGTACACTCAACACTTGGACTAACGCAGTGTTTTGCTTCCAACAATGATTATTAGTATCATTCTAACATTCTAACAATATACTGTGTAGGGTTATAATATATATATATTATATATATATACACATACATATATATATATGCATAATATATATTTATATTATACATATAATATATATACATCCATATTACTTATATATATATATATATATATATATATATATATATATATATGTGTGTGTGTGTGTTTTACTTATATTAAATATTTAAGTTATTAGCGTCATTTAAGAACACCAAATGCTGACCTAAATCTAACGACCACAAGCACTGTTCTGAGTACTTTTATTATTTTTTAACTGAACAGAAATTCGCACTTTATCTCATAAATACTGTATAAGCCAAGGTGATAGATATATCTCGAACGAGAGTCACAAACAAAATCGAAGGATTATTTGAACATCACTTCTTGGTGTGATTAACTTTAAGGGCAAAACGCCGGCTGTTACACTGTATTACGAAGCTGATCTCACGACTGTGTAGATAGTAAAGTTGGCTTTTCAGACACCAACCATAGCTATGCAAGACTGAGCTCGGAGCCCAGTGCTTATCAGCCTTTCAATATTATTAAAGCCAGTGTCCTCTTTTGCTAAAACGTTCGTACCGCTCTCCTTCTTGTATTTCCAAACGGGGCATTTAATAATACCTGTCATGACCCGGGTGATCCCCACCGATCTCTTACATTACCAAAGCACTCACAAGTCGGCGATATTGCCCAGAATGGTATGCACTTGTACTTACGTAGACAAAGTAGTGGTTTTTTCTTAAACCAACCTAAGGTACACAAAAATAACAGTGTAGGCGTTATCCAAAGCCAGAATAGACAATGCTAGGGGTAGGCTTCTTAAGGCAAGTCACAGAACTAACTGAGAAGAAAGGGCAGACTGGATGATTATGTCAATATAATTGTACATCATCGACAACCATTAGCATGGTATTATTGTGTTTACCTGATCCTGTTTAGATAATCGTAGATGTTTTAAACTCCCATTGGCAAAATATCAATTAGAAGGCAGGCTACTTCGACCGTGCCTGTCCGAGTCAACCTTGACTGAGCAGGATACACATCCCAGGAAATAGACGAAGATACTCGATTTAAAAACTCTCCCAGTAAAGGAAACGAACTTACTGAAAACTCTAACTGCTACACCAAAGAGGCCGCTATGTTAAAATAGGCCCTTAACAAAATAGCTATGACGGTGAAAAATACCTTGTGAACTGTTCTTAAGTGTACTTACAGAGAAGGTGTCAACAAAGATTTAATGCTGAAAATTATTATGAAATTATAAACATAACTCATTTCATTGTGATACGTTTTGCACTCAACTGGGAGATCACAGTGGCATCATTTATCTTCTATGATTTACCAAAGAAAGGTACGGCCAAACACGCACATTTACCAGCTTCTAGCTCCTTGAGAAAGCTTCCGGGGTTTGACTGAAAACAATTAGTTCGGCCCTTTTGTGAACTTTTCTCCAAAACCGGATATATTGTTGTTCACAACTCCGAAACACAAAGCACAAAAAGGAAAAAAAATCCCTTTACAGCATCCACAAAGTATTAACCCATTAGCATCATTACTGCATTATAACACCTTTTTCCGACAAAAAACTAGAATAGAGTAGTCTTCACTTATGCGCTGTGTCAGCATGTACAACTTCCACTCCACATGAAAGTGGAAGAATAATTTGAACTATATTTTGAGACAATAATCGTGTAAATATTGACAACACTTCAGAAAATCAATAGAGAGGCGTTCCGGGGAATCACAGACGAGGTCCCAATGGGAGCACACTCCAAAGATGTCTTCGTCAAGCAAAATCAGCACGTACAATCAGATCTCTGATGTGCTTGGGGTGAGGCGGGGGAGAGGGGGGGGGGCACCTGTGAATACACAAAAGACAAATTTAGTATTTCTATTATCAGAAATTGCTATATCCTATGGGCGTTATTTCTGTCATTGTCAACATTAGTGATTATCATTATCCAAAATATTCTTTTTTTATTTTTAAAGTTGGTTTGGTGCGATGTAAGTTATTAGTACAATGTGTTGTTTTGGTAGATATTCTTAGTTTGTTCAGGAAAATCAAACCAACAGAAAGATTTCTTGAAAAATAAATGATTTGCGCTGAAGTGGTAGCTTCTGCCCCACATTGTGAAGGTCTGATGGGCTTCGACTGTATCAAATAAATCTGATCGGCAGTGTAGGCAAGGTTGTGTTGTAGTGAGCGGTTGGTGGGTACTCTGGTGTGGTTTACCATCAAACATCTATCGTCCGTATCTTTCCTCCTACTTATTTGTGTTTGTTACTCACTTGTTACACCTCTAATCTTCTGCACTTATTTGACATTATCGTGTTGCAAATAACTTAAATTTCATATTAAAACTAACTGAAATAGCAAGATACAAGCAGCAACCAAGAATTCTGCTTTTGGCATCCGTATCCGACCGGACCTAACAATGTAGGTGAAGAGCAATAAAGACTATAACAACGTGTGACTATTGATAACACCCCCTCCCCCTTTCTTTTTTACCCCCTGGAAATAAAACATGTATCTCGTGCACAGCTGCGAGTCTACATATTTTCACAGGGTGTGCCTTGCTGAGTGCTCTCATATTTCTTTTGGTGATATAAATCATACCTGGAAATATAAAGCTTGTGTTTCCCTGCCGATAATAATTATTATTATTATAATGTGTACCGTGTTTAATTTCAAGGCATTTTGCAAGTGTTAACCAAGTTTTCTATGAAACGTAGTGTTGGGAGTTTATGATGTCAGTGGCAATCTGCCGCACACTAAAATGATGATTCATCTATGATCGTTTTGTTTTTGTTAAATTATGACTGAAACCGTTTAGATATTGCAATTGTGTTGCCACTTTATCCTCCCTCTTGTATAGTTAAATATTGAGGGGAGGTGTAATTTTCAGTCAAGGTCGAGATAGGTGGCTTCTGTAATTGACATGCAATTCTTTTGGAAGACTCTTTACGTCGTCCAGCCAAGTTTGGAGTGGTCTGCTTTGCCTTTGTATCATGACTCTTTCGAGTTGTAAGCTAGTGCAGCTGGTTGATTTGATGACAATCAGATAAGATGTTATTATCCCTGTTGTGATTTATGCGTATTAATCTAATTATATTGACCATTGTTATGTAAATGTTTCTACTGCCTACAAATGTATATCTCTACCTCCAATAGGAAACTCTGACCATCGCATGTCTCTTTTATTACCAAAGTACAAACCTAAATTAAAATCTTCAAAGCCAATTTAAAAAGTTGTCACCATCTGCAGTGAACAAAACAGGGAGAGCCTGAGAAGTTGCTTTGAATGTACGAATTGGAATGTTTTTAAAGATTCATGTAATAGTATTGATGGATTATTATTATTATTTTATTTTTTTATTATTATCATTATTATTATTATTATTATTATTATTATTATTATTATTATTATTATTATTATTATTATTATTATTATTATCATTATTATTATTATTATTGTTGTTGTTGTTGTTGTTGTTGTTCTCTCTTCTTCTTCTTCTTCTTCTTCTTCTTCTTCTTCTTCTTCTTCTTCTTCTTCTTCTTCGTCAGTTTCTTCCTTTTCTCCTTCTTCTTCTTCTTCTTCTTCTTCTTCTTCTTCTTCTTCTTCTTCTTCTTCTTCTTCTTCTTTTTCTTCTTCTTCTTCTTCTTCTTCTTCTTCTTCTTCTTCTTCTTCTTCTTCTTCTTCTTCTTCTTCTTCTTCTTCTTCTTCTTCTTCTTCTTCTTCTTCTTCTTCTTCTTCTTCTTCTTCTTCTTCTTCTTCTTCTTCTTCTTCTTCTTCTTCTTCTTCTTCTTCGTGTTATTGTTTTTTGTTGTTGTTGTTGTTTTGGGGTTGGTTTGTTTTTGGGTTTTTTTTGGGGGGGTGTTAAATTGTGATATTCACTAAATACAAACATCTGCTTTAGCCTTTAGCCACACTGAGAAGAGTAAAAGGGAAAGAGCGAGCCAGGCAGCCAACCAAATATCAGCTTCATGAAAAACAGCAAAACTTTCAAAGGCAACCGAATAACGATCTCACCACAGTATATCTCAGTTTTATTACGGACATTTGTCATAAAAACCTCAAGTCAAATCCGTCGGGTGAGACAAGAATTGATTTTAGACTGTCTTGGACAGGAAAGGAGAATCGACTGTTCAACTATCAAAGAAATAACATATGGGCTAAAAAATAACTTGAGGTTTTGAGACACATTAATGCTACTAAATCTTCATGTCTGTTCATAACTGAAAAGACATCCAGATTTACAACAACAACCAGGAAGTAACGATAGCAGCTCTTTTCCAGAGAATTATGCCAGCGGCTTCAGTTCGAGTCCTAACATTGACATCGATCCTAATTTGTTTGAACAAAAGTTAGAGGCGAGTTTCAAAATCCCATAAAATTTATATCCGACTCTACAGTTATCCAGGTTGCCTTGTTCTTGACAGAGCCAGTGAGCCCGTGTCTGTGCTGTCGCGGTTACGTGCTCCGCTATTGCACGCAGGCAACTCTAGCTCCTTTCTCGAGTGAGGAGAAAACTTGCCTTGAGTATCTCTGTCTATCTGATGGGATATTGCATCCCTCTCAGCCCAGACTGGCCCTGACAAGCAGAGTCGGAAGCCCGCCTTCGATATGATCTAAATCATGTCGATGGGGACGTAAAATATACATGTGTACTTTCATTTCATTTCAAAGGCCAGACTCGATTATATGATATTTAAGGATTCAATTAATTCCATTCGATTTAAGCTCAATCACCTTCTCCGGCACCCCAGATTCCCTTCACTGTACGTAACTGCCCCACTCTCCTCTGATCTATCTATCTATCTATCTATCTATCTATCTATCTATCTATCTATTTATCTGTCTATCTATCTATCTATCTCTCTATCTATCTGTCTATCTTACTATCTATCTGTCTACCTATCTATCTGTCTGTCTGTCTTTCTATCAACAATCTATCTATCTATCTATCTATCTATCTATCTATCTATCTATCTATCTATCTATTAGTCGACCTGTCTATCCATCTAGTTAGCTAGCTAACTAGCAATTTATCTATCCATTTATTAATAAATAGAGGGATCCATTTATTAATCTATCCATCTATCTATCTATCTCTCCCTCTCTCTGTCTACCTCCTCTATCTATCTATCTATCTATCTATCTATCTATCTATCTATCTATCTATCTATCTATCTATCTATCTATCTATCTATCTATCTATCTATCTATCTATTATTCCCACATTCTCTCTCAAACTTGAATAATCGCTAAATAAGGAAGAAAGACAAATCATAGCTAAATAGCGATACTGGAAATAAAAACGCATTTATAAAGAAAAGAACCAAAAACGTATTTCAGTAGCATTGGCCTTGACTGCGTTCCCATAGGAAAATTTCTCTTTTTTCTACTTTTTTTCAGTTTTGTAAATTAGTGTCTTACAATGATCTATCATTCTTGGACATTCAACCAATTAGGTCATTTCGTGAGGACGTATAATGCGAGTCATTCATCAAAATAAAACATTAATGTTTTCACAAGACCCCACGATGTTAGAAAGTTTGATGTACTGCAGTCTCCATTAATTGCGCTGGCTCTTGTATGACTTTCGTGCTTCGCCCGCAGAAGGCCATAAACTAGACTTAATCAACGACAGAGGAATTTGTCCATTGATTGTCGATTTGCCCTAGCTCAGAATAGATGGGGATAGTAAGAGTGCGCGGGTTTTTCAATACGATCTTTTGTTTCATGACCTAATGAACTCAGTTCACGCAACGAAAACGTCGATTCGTCTGGTCTCAACAAATGGGGTTATTAATTTCGCTTCTTTTCATGGACACAAGAGGAGAAGATGGTGGGGGTGAAGTTAGATATATAGACATAAAGAGCGAGAGAGAGAGAGAGAGAGAGAGAGAGAGAGAGAGAGAGAGAGAGAGAGAGAGAGAGTAGCTGTTTGGGCTGATGATGGTGACGATGATGATGAACAGGAGGAGGAAAAAGATCAGTTGGGATGGGAAGGAGGAGGAGGGAAATAGAGGGCTACGTACAGCCATCTATTATTTGATAACGAATATAGCGATTTCTTTTTGCAGACCACGACTATTATTGTTGTTTACTCTTTCTCTATCTATGTGAGGCTAGTGCGACCTCAAACCCAAACATTGACGTCATAAACCTGTCTGCAACCTTATATGGTATAATTGACTGAATACAAACGTTTAGAGGTAAAATTTAGAGGCGGGCTGCTTCTTCGCTGCCAGTTAGGCCAGCACAATCTAAGAATGAAGGTGTGCTATCTAACAGATGAATCTAACAGATGAATAGACATATTTCATACAACAGACCTACTCATGTGGGAATCGAACTCATGCCTTTTATAGGCAACCTTGAAAAAACCGTTCTACCACAGACGCTAGTTTGGACTGAACTGGGTTACTGGAGAGACATAATATTATAATATGTCTACGTCAGAGCCAAAAATCAGGTCTTATAACGTTACAAATAACGGCAAAATATCACAAGAATGGTGTGGCCTGTCACAGGATTAAACCTCTGGCACATTAAAACGCAACTGGGGGAGAAAAACCCAATACCTTCCAGCAACGGCCCTTTTGGATATTATGTGACAGCAAACGGGAGATGTCGGTTTCTTTCGTGATTTGTGTCATTAATGTTTTTAAGCAATCATTTTTTAATTATTTTTGTTGTTGCTGTATTGCAATATTTGTGAAGAGAGGGTCAGACAGACACAGAGAGAGAAACAGAGAGAGTTAGAGAGAGACAGAGACAGAGAGAGGAAGAGAGAGAAATAGAGAGAAGGGGAAATAGAGACAGACAGAGAGAGAGAGAG